AGATTGGTGATGTGGATTAATGACATGGATAATCAAATTTTTATTTATTATTTTTAATTAAAAACGAATTAAAATTTATTAGTTAAAAAAACTAATGAAGGGTGTTAACTATAATTACACAAATGCTCAAAACATATGAGTAATTTTTAAAAGATATATGATAGTCTAATAATAAACATACTTTTCTATAACATCTGAGTAAATTTAATTATATGAATTAAAATGTTTTGGCCCATTACAGTGGACTTCTAATGTGGGCTCTATCTCTCTCTCTTCCACTACAACTTTCATATATAAAATGACTACCTTTTACCTTGTATCAATCAAGAAGTTTCGCTAACAAAACTGTGAACAATATATCAGAAAGAGTGATTAAAAGGTTTCTGAAGTTTAAGTTGACTGGTAGTCACTAACGTTAACTGGCACAAGATCTTTTTATTCCCCTAAAAAAGACTTTGAAGTGATATGTGACCATTAGACTAAGAATATATATAATTATAAAATCAAGAAGTTGAAGTGATGGGCTAGTGGTTCTACTTTGGTGGGCTAGTGGCTCGTGGTTCTAGTATGATGGAAAAGTCGTCATGTTGTTCTAGCCAATGGATTGAATGTAATACCCGTCACACCACAAAGGATAGGACTGTATATTATTCATCCATTCTTACCAAAACGTTTATTTCTTTAAAATTCACCAACGAACAAACTTCAACCCACAATTTTTGAAACTTACTAACTTGGAGAAAAAGAGAAAAAAAAAAAAAAAAGGGTGAGTAAAACAAGTTTACTCAGTGAGCAGATCAACTCTGCCCAGTAGACATATAGTAAAAACATTCCAAATATAATCAATAACCATTACTTAGCATAGATTCATAATGTCTATCAATCAAACAAAGATGCATTTGTCTTGCTCACAACAAGATACAGTATTTTACTTTCTTTTTAAATTTTAAGTATTTTAACTTATGGATACTCGAGCCTCTTTTAACTCATGGCTACTCAAGCTTACTTATGGAAGGCTACTCAAACCTACTTATGGAAGACCACGGCCCGTAGCTCGATCCTTCCCCTTATTGCTCGATAGCACTTAATGACATGTATATGAACTCGTCGGTCCATTACAGTCCAACCTCCTCAAGTATCCTTCACATACTCTTTAGTTTTCTCTTCTTATATACTTATATATAATCATTTTTATAATTTAATGTATGTTAAGCATGACATCAAACCATGTCACTAATGCATTTTATGTATCATGTTACTAACGACCTAACTGTATCATGCACACAAATTCACATAAATAACCAAAGATAATTCTCGAGCCTATACTTAGTAACTATCGAAGAGTATATAAGGAAAGACGTTACTGCATATCCGCAAATACCACCCTAACCTTAGCCTAATTGAAGATGAAGAACAACTCTCTTCTGCTTTCTCCTTTAGACAAATTACTAGCTTGCCTCCAACCGCATACTATTAAACTCCACCTTGGATCTCCATCAACCTAGACATAATTATGAGAGTCTTAAAGACTCCTGCAAATTTTGGGCTCAAGCCAAGCTCGTTTACCCGAGCAACAATATAAACTTTGTCACAATTTTTTCTATGTAAATCTATCTTGGAAACATACACGTAAGTCAAATTCTAACTGTTAGAAACTTAATCTCACCGTTGAATATGCAGCCAGTAGTATCATGAAGATCTACACCAATTTCCAGTCATATCGAACATTAGATGAACCACCCACTGTAACATCCCGACCCCAAATTTGGGAGGTGGTGTCGGTCGACACCAATAATTTCTGGTTTGAAATGTTCATTTTAAATCACCGATATAGTCATGAAGTGATTTGGATAACCCTAGGTCTCGTTTTAATAACGTTACAGCCTCCTTTCTCTCCATTCTTTGAGTGTTTTGTCGTTCTAGAGAAGAGAGAAAGAGAGAGTTGGCTTTGTGGTTGACCTAGAGAGAAAAGAGAAGGGTTTGAGTGAGTTAAGGAGAGAAGAAAAGCTTGTTTTTGGTGTTAGCAAGAGGAGGAGGAGCAGATCAGCGGCTGTGGGTTGAGAGAAGGTTGTTGGAGTGCTGGATTCTTCTGTTCTTTCTCTCAAATCAATCCTAAATCGAGGTGAGTGCGTGACCATGGCTTATCTAAGCAAGTTGGGAAGTTTTGATGCTTTGTTTGAGTCTATAGGTTGACTGGGAATGATTTGAGGTGTGATTGTTGGTTGATAGGAACATGTATGCTTGTATTTGTGCCTTGGGACGTGGGAGACTCGACGTGGGCAGCAGAAAGCCGAATCGGGAGAGGCGAGGTGCATTTTTCAGGTCTGCTGCAGCGTCGGTGTCTGGTGACGATCGACACTAGGAGGGTGTCGGTCGACACAAGGTATGGCTGGAAGCTTTTAAGCTTCCTGAAATTGCCTGGTTTCATTTGTTGATTGGTTTTGTTTAGTGTCTTGATTTTTCTATCTTGCTTGTGTATATAGCCTGTTGATGGGAATATCGTCTCACTAAGTATTTGTGATAATACTTATGCAGCTCTTTCTTTATGGTGCAGGTAAAGAAAAAGTGTGACGTGGAATCATGGCAAGGAAGAGAGGATGATCTAGGAACTCGTTTGGTTGCGTTTTATTATGTTGTTGGAACCTGTTTTTAGAACTATACTAGGATTGATGGATAGTTCTGGATATGTTTGTTTGATTATTTATTTATAAGAAATTGCATTTGTACTTGTTGGTTGCTGTTGTTTATTGGTTGATTTAATTAAGTATTTATGGGGATATTTAATTATGTTAAAAAAAAAAGGTTCGGGGCTTCACACCAACGTTCTCCTGAATATGCTGCGTCAGATCTGTTTTCTATGGTCCTATGCTTACCAGTTTTTGACAAAATAACAAATTTCTTACGCGGAAAGCAATGCAAATAACTTATGTAATATAATCCCGATTCAAACTCTGTCGGTTGCTGTGGATTTATGGCAACAAGATCTTTCGAGAGACTT